GACGATCTTTTGAAAATATTAAGTGAGACCTTGTCCTTTCTTTGTGCAAACCCTCCAATTACTTCTTCCTTGAGAGTAGACATAAAAAGCTTACAAGGACCTACAGGTCACTAAATAATGTGGCCTCCTGTCACCTCTCCAGTCTTGCCTCAGACTACTCCCTCCCTAGCTGGCTCCACTCTAGCCACACTTCCTCACTCACTTTTCATGTTAAACTCCATATGCTCATCTGTCTTATACCCTTTGCTTTCTATTCCTTCTGTTGAAATGCTCTTCCTCCAAAACACTGTATATCTCACTCCTCTCCTTCAAATCTCCACTTAAAAGTTCCTTTCTTATCAAATATTGCAGAGTTTCTCTACCCAGAGGTAGCCAAAATCAAGGTTAAGGGCTTAGGCCTTCAGACTTCCAAGTTGGCCCAAGATTTCTGACACCAGTTGCAAGTTCAAGATCACCAGGGCCACCCTCACTTCAGACTAGCTGGCTATACATTTGAGATCCCTAAGGACTTCCTCAGATTTAATCATGCCCTAGAATGACTCACAGAACTCAGGAGGGTGCTATATTTATAATTCTGATTTTTATATAATAAAAGGATATATATCAGAACCAGTCAAAAGAAGAGACACATAAGTAGCATCTGGTACTACTCACTGAATTCCAAAGGTAAAGCTTCTATCACCTCAGAGATGCATTACCTTCAGGGCATTAATTGTGTCAATGTGCGCATGGAGGAAGGAAGCTCACCTGAGCTTGAGGTCCAGAGTGTCATTGTAGTTTCATTATATAGGCATAATTAATTAAATCATTAGCCATTGTGGTTGCACTCAATCTTCAGCCCCCTCCCTTCCTGGAGGTCAGGTTGATATCACCAGACTCAAAGTCCCACCCTTCTAATCACATGGTTGGTCTCCTGGCATGGCTGTTCCTTCCACAAGATCATCAGTGTGAGCAGGCCCATCCTGAGTCATGCCTTTATTAAAGGCTGTAAGGTGCTCACCATGAGTTGCTTTGTTAGCGTAAACCATTAGATATAGTGCAAAATTCCAAAGATTTAGAGGTTATCTCGCAGAAACTATGGGCGAAGTCCAAGGAAATTCATTATTACATATTCCTTCATCACTGTCCCCTCTCTAGCAACTCTTACAATCTAATATATTATATATTTTCTGTATTTATCTTTTTTATTGTCTATCTTCCTCAAAGAAAGAAAACTGCAACGGGCAAGAATTTCCATTTTTGTCTTTGTTGATTGTCTGTGATTTAAATAAGCCTGACATAATATGCACTCAATTAATATTGGTTGAATGAATAGATGAATTCTGTTTTTCTAATTCAGATTCTCTTATAGCCCCTCTATTCTTTAAGTTAAAATACAATATTATTAAAGTGTGACTTGGCATAAAATATAAATCTATGAATACTTGTATATTTGAGAAATTATCCAATATAATCTGTATTCCCTTTGCCCTCTCATGACGGTAGAAAATTTTGGATATCCGTTTAATTTACAAGTACTAATCCTGGCTTTATTTTATTAGATTGTAAGGCACACTGAAATATATTTACTTTAAAATCATTGTATAGCTTGCCTAGACATCATTGTCTCTGAATTCTTACTCAAAAAGAATCTTAATTCCTATGTTAGAATTGATGGGCAACCCTGAGATTTATAATCCCAAGAAAACATATGGAGTTAAATACATGAGAGTTTTTCATATCAGACATCCTGGGTCAATTAATGTCTTTTTTTATAAATCTACTCATAAGATAAGATCAAATCTGTGCTCAAATATCGATGACAAGCAAGTAATTTCCTGAAATATGGATGTTAGGAAAATACTCTGCCTTTTTTGTTAAATAAGCTACATTTGAAAACTTTTCAAATCTACCGAAGAGAAAAAGTGTAGTAGACGATCTTTAGACGACTTTTGCATACCACAAAGTAGAACAAAAATCTCATAGTAAAAAATAGAGCAAGATTTCTCTGTTTCATGGAAAATTTTAGGTATTATCCTTTCAAAGTCTTTATTTTGTGACAAGAGCAGGAAATATTTTTGAAAAATAACAGAGCCAAGATGTTTAAATATACCTTATAATTTTGGGATTAAATTCATATAGTGTTTCAGAATTGTGTATCTGGGAAATATGTTGTATTTCACAGGCTTTAATTGATGCAGATAGAAAGAGAATTATATCTCTTGTTAAGTTTTAAAGTCTTTGAAGATTTCTTCAAATTATACAGTAAAATGCTCCATCACTTCAATAGCTATTTCAATAACTTTTGAAAACTGTATCTGCATCCATAGGCAAAGGAATTTTATTATCTCTGAATTGCGTTTTGGAATGTCATCAGATACTTCACAGAACAAAGTTTGTCAAATGAACACGGGCAGTGCCAGTAGACTTTGCTCTTGAACTCAAGTACGAGTCAGCTTTGTTCAAGTCACCATTTGCAGAAGCCAGACATGAATGAGCAGTTAAAATGGTGCCATAAGTTAATTAGAGTGGAATTAGAAGGAAAGTGGGCAATTTAGGAACATAAGAATTGCTGTACCGAATCAGACCAATGGTTTTCCTGGTTTCATATCCAGCCTCCAGCAGCTGTACTTGTTAGTTTCTAAAGCTTTAAAAGAAAGGGAAAAGACTACATAATTCACCTAGACAAGTGTGCCATCTGTGATCTGGAGAAATTTTCTTCATGACCTCTCTCAAATAATACCCTAAAGCAAGAGGTTTCAATCCTGTTATGATATTGGTTTAGCTTGAATAGCTCTGGTTATTAATAACTCTTTTTTAATCATCCAATTCCTACATAAAATCAACTAATCCATCAAGAAGCTATTTATCTCCAAAGCTCCTGAATTCATGGTTGGATATGTCTGCTTCTACGATAAAATATGAATTTGTGGTGCTTATTCGATACAAGTCCTTGATGGCAAAATCTGCTCTAGATAACCATGCTCAGTGAATGCTTGCTTCTCTTTCCAAAATCTACTGGATTCACAGGCCTGTGGCAAAAAGAAATCTTGTATCTCCTGTCACTGCTCCCAACTTTCTGTTACCAATCCACAGAGCTATCTGAATGATGAAGAAATTCACGTGCTGAACTTTTAGAAGAGGTCAACCAAGAGTTTTTCTTACATGATTTTACTTTAAGGTAGGATGAATCTAAGAGAAAGGAATGAATTACGCATCCTTATCACTTTAGTCTTCTGTTTATGATAGAAGAAGCTGTGACTATTTTATAGGCTTCTTGGTTATTCTGGATAATCTCCAGGTCAACATTTCTAAAATGTTATGTTCAAAATAAGCCATTTAGTCAAAAATCCCTCAAGAATGGTAAATGCCGACAGTTAAAGTCTAAACCATTTTCCTGGGCTGTTAGATCTTAATGTGATAACACTAATGTCCTAAATCTATGACTTTAGTAGAATCTCCTCTATCTTATATTCCAGGAAACTAGTTTTTTCATTGTGTTTTGACCTGAGATAAACACTCATTATTTATAACGATGTTCATTCTGTTCCCTTTCTCTAGCTTTCCCAACTTCTCTTTCTGGTTCGGTTCCTTATTTACTCTCCTTCCTTCAAGCTAGAATCTCCTTCCTTCAGGTAATTACCTTTTAAACAGGTAGTGATTGTTTCCTCTTCTGATAATTTGTATCCCTTTGTTTATGTTTGGTTTAGGCTACCAGTTCTTTGTTTTCATGAATGTTCTTCCTTGTAAATTCCCGGAGGGAAAATATGTTTCCCATATTTATTTGTATTTCCAAATCCTAGGCCAGTGTTTAACTCATAATCATAGCATAAAAATAAATTAGAGGGAAATCTATAGACTTGCCAGGGACTAAACTATTTGGAGCCACTTGCAAAAAAAACTCTTTGAGTTTATGTTTGTGTGATCTAGGTAAGACATTATTGAATGCTACAAAGATGTAAACAAACCCCAAACTATACATTTCTAAAAATTAGAACCAAGTGTTATTGATACAAAAATCGCAATGAAAGATATGGGAAATATCAGCACAAAAAGAGAATATGAAAAAGAGAATCTGAATTACCTTTGGGAAAAGAAGGGATTCTAAGCAGAATAGCTGCACAACGGCAAAGAAGTGAAACAAAGGAGGGAATTACTAGGGAACTGTCTCTAATTCCTGTTGGTCGACTCATACAAAGACTATCTGAAAGTAAGCTTGGAAATATGGGAGGCACCACATTCAGTGAATTTACCTGAACTCACTGGGGAATTATTGAAACAATTTTCATTGGTGAGCAGATCTAGAAGAATGTGGGATCAACCTGAAAGGGAGACGGAAGGCAGTTTCCTACAGTAATGGTTATTACATAATAAGTTGTGTAATCGGTCACAAGCTCAGGCAGTAATGGCAAGAACGTATGGAATGACATGGATGCAAGATATGGAGTAGATGGCGTTAATGTTTGCTGTGAGAAGATTGGGTCTGAGGTAAAGGGAGAAAAGGAAACAAAAGGAACACTGCCCTTCGAGCATGTTTAAGTGTGAAGAAAACATCAGCACTCTTGAAATAGGAAATGTTTTTTCCTCCCTGTATGGTAAACAGAAATGCATGTGAAAGTTATCCTTTAAATTTTCATTCCTATACTTTTAATTTAGTGTTTCGAGTTACTGAAAACATTCCACCCAGTTCATTTTTACTTGACATCTTCAAAACAAATCCACATTTTTTCTGACTTTTTAAAAGTTGTTGTTGGTTTTTTAGAACAATATTCTTTCTATCTAAAAATGATTTCAGGGACGCCTGAGTTGGCTCTGTGGTTAAGCGTCTGCCTTTGGCTCAGTGTATGATCCCAGTGTCCTGGGATCGAGTACCCACATCAGGCTCCCTGCTTCTCCCTCTGCCTATGTGTCTGCCTCTCTCTGTGTCTCTCATGAATAAATAAATAAATAAAATCTTTTTAAAAAATTAAAAATAAAAATGATTTCAGTAGAACTATAACATCTCTTTTTAATTTTTTTAGACATCCAGATGGAACCCAGAACAATAGCACAAGATGGCCTGCCTTTGAAAACACTGACCAAAAATATTTAACCTTGAATACAGATTCACCACAAGTATACACTAAACTACGTGCTCAACAATGCCGATTCTGGACACTATTTTTTCCCAAAGTCTTGGAAATGACAGGTGTGTGTATTTTTAGTATTTGGTCAAATAATTGGTTGTGAATTATATAAAAGGAAGAAAAGCTAGATTGTCCAAGGCACAGTGATGGTGTTAATCTATGAGTTTACAATTACTTGATTGCAGTGAGTGCATCACTTTCACAACTTTCTTCCAGCAAGTTTAGGTATATTTGAGAGCTTGCTATATGAGCAGCACTTTAGTAGTTAAATAAAGAAAACTAAAGTAGAAATTTTCCCCCAGAGGAACATGAAACCTAGTAGGGGAACTAAAATAGGGCACTACTTGCTCTTCAGCTCATCTTTCTGGAATTAACTAATGGATAAATGAATAAATACACATACAAAATAAGCAGTGAATAGAACTAAAAATATAATTACTAAAATATAGAATGAATATAATTTATACTCAAAGAGAGGTAAACACAAATTTATTGATAAATAGAACTCTTGATTTCTAAGAGGAAAAAAAAAAAAACTCCAGAATTTGAATATTTAAAGATGCAACCCAGATATTTCTAAATATTCTGAGCTTAGAGACATTTATCATGAACACATACATATAATACACAATAAAATAACCAGACAGTGATTTAGTTACCTAACTTTGGGAAGGGAATCCTTAAGCTTATATAAGGAAACACTAGGAAAGTTGCTTCAGATCATTGTGTTATTTCAAACTTCATTAGAAAGAAAATATCTAAATCAACTTGAACCGTCAGCTTGAATGATCGCCTCTTCTGTGAGGAAAATGACATACATATCTCACTCACTTGCCAGTTTTTAAAAGCCCAGCTGTTTCTAACTCATGTGACTCCTCAGGCCTTTATTTTTCAAAGGAGAAGTAATCGAATCTCAACCATCAGACAGATTGCTGCCCAGTTTCCTTAGACTTTACCACTCCGTTCATTGTAATACTCTGTGATTTTTCAGGCCCTGTTCAGCATCACAATATAGTAGATGCTCTAGTTTCCTGTTTAGAGAGGTGGGGGTTGGTTTCAGGCAAACGTGGGCATCTCAGAGCTATATTTGCTTGTTTAATATGCTTTTTAATGATCAGGCATTACTCACCAAAATTATAATTATGTACTCCATCTGTTTGGGAGATGTTTCTGATATACCAGTGCTCTGTGTATTACCAAATGTTCTGTGACATAATATATATCCAGAGATGGGTTTCTGCATCCCTTGGCAAAGCTACAGTGCTGCCCTTGTGTCCTCCTGGTGTGAATAACAATGAGGTAACATGTTTAATCTGCCAAGAGACCAAAAGAGGTACCATTTAACATAACACAGACTACACATTCTTAATCTTTACTTAAAATATTTTTAAATGAGAAGGTCGTAATCGAGGGACAATGAGAGGGAATGGGGAGGATTTTAAATGATTAACTTATTATTACAAGCCAAAGTGATTTGTTCTGGTTCGAGCTTCTGTGGCCTCCTGCAATTTATTTGTCGATTTAAGTATCAGCAATTTTGGAAGATGTTACTTCAAAATCTCTAAGTACTCAACTGCCATAAAGCAGGTTGAATAAACAAACTCCTAAGTTTTTGGCTAGCTGCCACTCCTGCCTGTGCAGTGCCGGACGATTTTCTAGTTTGAGCAACATTGAGCTGTATGGACATAGCAGGTCTTGCTCCAGGGTAGTATTGTGCTCTGGGATAGTTCCAAAGCCCCTTAAAAACATCATTTTATGCTTTAACATTTTTTTTTCAGATAATTCCCCTGTAAAAAGTTACATAAAATATACTTTATAAGATGTAAAGTAAATGCATGATATGAGTGTGGTAACAACATCCTCCTTTTTTTTTTTTACACTTAAACAAAACCACTTTGAAATTATATGTTTTTTGGGTTTTATAAATGAATAATGTAGGGGGATTAAAAAAGATTAAGAACACACATTCTTACCATATTTTGTGTATTTCAAGTTGCAAAACCTCACACATTTCAGTATTTGGTATTTTGAAAATTGGAGTTATTCCCATGACCTGGACTGAAGTTCCTATGGAAATATTATGTTTTAAAAAAGCAACTCTATATGTAAAGGAACATTTCAAAGAAAAACTACTGACGGGGTTTCTGAAAGGGAGAGATGTTTACCTCACTCAAGATGGAAACCCAATGAGCTTTATAAGTACCACTTGAGCAGTAGTTTACATTTGAGCAATAAATGTTCTCAAATAAAATGATCCTTAAGACTTGTTTAAACACAGGAATTCTAGCACTTAACTTTCAGACTACACTTCAGCATATGCCTGTGCTATTAGTGCGTGCACCTGCAAGAAATAAAATGTGCGATATTTGTTTTAAATATTACCAAATTCAAAATTTTCCCTAAAAATGTACCTGCATAATATTTAACAATTGTTTGAAAAAGAAAAGAGAGAAATGACCCATTTGATGCCAATAAGATATCAGCATTTTTCACTAAAAGTGGAAGAGTAAGTTTACTTAAAGGAAAAACCACTTTGACCTTTTAAATCCTCCCAATAAAGAATAATATTAGCTCCAGTGGCTTTTCTTTGTTTTATTTTAAAAATATAAGCATACTTGGAAGATATTGCCAGTTTGGTTCCAGAGCAGAGCAGTAAAGCGATTATGGCAATATAGCGAGTCAATGAATGTTTTGGTTTCCCAATGCATATAAAAGTTATATTTATACTGTGCTGTAGTCTATTAAGTGTGTAAGAGCATTATCTCTAAAAAACAATGAACACGTCTTAATTTAAAAACACTTTATGGGGGCACCTAGGTGGCTCAGTGGTTGAGCTTCTGCCTTTGGCTCAGGTTTTTTTGTTTTTTTTTGGGCTCAAGGTCTTGATCCCTGGGCCCCAAGATGGAGTCAGTCCTACATAGGGCTCTCTACAGGGAGCCTGCTTCTCCCTTTGCCTTTGTCTTTGCCTCTCTTCTGTGTCTCTCATGAATAAGTAAAATCTTTTTAAAAAAATAAAATAAATAAAATAAAAACACTTGATAGCTGGGTGCCTGGGTGGCTTAGTGGCTGAGCATCTGCCTTTGGCTCAGATCGTGATCCCAGGGTCCTGGGATTGAGTCCTGCATCGGCTTTCAATAGGGAGCTTGGTTCTCCCTTTGCCTATGTCTCTGTCTTTCATGAATAAATAAAAAAGTCTTAAAAAAAGCACTTTATGGCTAAAAATGCTAACCACCATCTGAATTTTCAATGAGACATCATCTTTTTGCTGCTGGTGGAGAGTCTTGCTTCAATGTTCAGGGTTGATGGTTGCTGAAGGCTGAGGTAGGTGGCTGTGGCAATTTCTTCAAATAAGACATCAATGAAGTTGCACAATTGAGTAACTTTTCCTTTCACGAATGATTTTGCTGTAGCATGTGTACCTCTTTGGTAGAATTTGACCTACAGTAGAACTTCTTTCAAAACTGAGGTCAATCTTCTCAAACTCTGCTGCTGCTTTATCAACAGAGTTTATGTGATATTTTAAATTCTTTATTGCCATTTCAACAGTCTTCACAGCATTTACTGGGGGTAGCTTCTAGCTCAAGAAACTACTTTCTTTGCTCATCCAAAAGAAGCAATTCCTTATCCTTTAAAATTTTATCACGAGATTGCAGCAATTCAGAAATAATAATGAAAAATTTGGAACATTGCAAGAATTACCAAACAAAATGGAACACAGAGACAAGAAGTGAGCAGATGCTCACTTGGAAAAAGTTGTGTGGATAGACTTACTTGATGCAGGGTTGCCACAAACCTTCAATTTGTAAAACATGCAGTATCTGCAAGGCACGATATAGTGAAGTGCAATACAATAATTATATGCGAAGCCTTCACAAAGTTTTGCCTGAATTTATAGTAGTTCACTCAACAGTATTAGTCATAGTTCACTGTCATCCCACACTCAGAAATATAACAGGACAACTAATACGTTTCTGATCTGCAACGTAAGAACGTAAAAGAACGTAAAGAATTATGCATTCCTTGATAGCTTTAATAATTGGATAACAGGGAAATAAGCAAGTAATGGGAACAAAAGAGATTTTCAATGAAATCTCAAAGTACGTGATTTTTTTATTATAATGATTAGCACAATTAATTTCCAATTTAGTCTTTTCTTCTAGCTTACCTTCATGACTAATTTTGAGTTGACTCACCTCTCCTGTATTCTTTCTTAACACCTCAGACTTGATAGATTCCACTGGTGAAATATTGCTCGCTCTTTTTTAATTGACAAGTCAAAGAGTAGCCTTATTAGTATTACTCTTTCTGTAGGGAAGAAAGCCTGACTTTTTCTTTTCCAAAGGAGACAATGATGTGGACAAATCAAACATCACAAAAGTCCTGAAAAAGTTGTGTCAATATGTTTATAAACTACTGGTATTGATCTAGCTATACATGGATTCACTAAAGAGCAAAGTTAAGAATAAATTTTTGTAACAGGGCAGTAAATTTGTTAGTGGAGCTCCCAATAGGTCTATAGAGCTTGATTTCATAATGTACAAACCAACTGATTTATCCTTCACGGTAAGTAACACGGCAAAAGAGTGATCACTGACCCCATTTACAGCTGGAAAACTAGTTTCAAAAGTAAGAATTTTTTTCTATGTCACCAACAGGGTAAGTAGTCAAACTGGAATCTAACCCATTTCACCCCAAAACCTATATAATGTCCTTTATTTCACATTGTAGTACCTCGCTAACTGCAAAACAAATAGGTAATAGATCTACATCTCACAGAATATAAATCTATAGCCATCTAAGTAGTATTCCAGTATGGAGGAAGAAGAGAAGTGTGGGAAGAAATAAAAACTTCTAATTTTGGTTTTTATTTATGTCATGGGACTAAAAATGTTTGTTATCTTTTTATTATGGTGTATTCAGTCGACATTGTATTAAAAATAATCAAGTTTTATATTTTATTATCTCAACCAATGTTCAGTATTATTGAAGAAAAAAATTACTCAGGATTACAAAACATTTGTACACTAGAAAGCAAAGTATTTCAGTACACTAAATTGTATAGTGTTTGATTATGGTACAAAAGGAAATAAATATTTATTTATATGAATCAATGAATTTGATATCATTCTATGAACAAGAAAAAAATCAAATCTAAAAGCTTTTCTCTGAGTATTAAAATTCATGGTGTAAGTTGTAAATTACCAGTCATTTATTTATTATAACATAAGTTTTTTCTTTCTGAACTTTAGAGCCCTTATTTTGCATAACATTTTAAAAAGCATTTAATTATAAAAAACACCATAAGACTAGATTATTTGTATGATATTTAATGTCTTTCACATCTAATGTTTTTAGAAAAGTTCTATTATTCACAAAATAACTACAGTCATTGACCTTGTAAAAGACATTTTTTAAACAAGACATTTTTGTATATATTTGCAAATACTTGTCCAAAGTCCAAGCAGTATGAACATTTTAAACTTAAATATATCCTAAATTACAGGGGATATTTTAATAGCTATATAAATATTTTATGTATTTTGATTTTCATAAACTAAAAATCAGTCACTGAATGTGCTCCATTGTTAACAGTATGAGTGAAAAGACACATTTTCATGTATAATGTAGTGAGATCACATGAACTGTCTTCCCCAAATCAATACCTCACAGGTGTAATTAATTTAAAAAATTCCTAACAGAAAAGTATGTATTCAAAAAATTGTCAATTCCTTATTTTCAGAATAGCCAAAATACCACCGCAAAATGTTTTTTAATTCAATGACTATTGCACAGAATCCTAAAAGTGTGAGAACTACAAGTGTATAAAATACTAATAGATTTGAATAATTTAAACTATCTTCCAGCTTTATCATGTGTATTTATATTAGGAACATGAATATATGATTTTAGAGGTTGTAATGTAAGAGTTTCTGTTGTTTATAAACTTTATTCTTTAGTGTAACACATTTTCAAATTAATCAAGATTTCAAGGTGCTTGTAGTACATAGACCATTTTTGGTTCATTGCCTCACATTATTCCTGGCATCAACACTCTCCTCCCCTGACACATGTATACACTTTACAAACTACTGGAAAGCAGAGATTGTCTTAGTCATATTTCTAATTTGCAAAGCAATTAATAAATTGCTTTCATGTAGTAGTTTCAATAAACTGCTTTCAATGATTAGGCATTTTTCGGAACTAAAGTATACTGATACAGAGTGAGAGAAAAATATATATGGAGGGTATACATAGTTACCCTTATGCATTAATACATATATATAAATATTTTCATAGGGAATAATAGTTTGCTATAGATTTACATATGTAAATAAGACATTAAGTGAGATTTCTGTTATGTAAAAGAGCTCAAGAAAAGGTATTAATATCTACGCATCTTCTTAGAAACTAAATACATGTTATGCAACCTAGTTAGATATGATATATCAATGTATTTCCATATTTTTATGATATATGCAATTTATACATGTATATTATTTGCAATTTCATATAATGTATAAAATTTTACTAAAAGCTTTCCAAGTAGTGAAAGAAGCTGATAATAAATAATAAAAAATTAAAAATTGCTGTGCCATGTTCTTGGAGAAAATGGCACGTGTATCCAAAATTATTTTTCAATTAATGTAAACAGATTAAAATTTAGATTAATACAACTTATTGCATGTTTTACAGGAAATATTGATGAAGCAGAACGAGAATGGAGAGCAGGATTCTATCGCTGGAACAATTACATGATGGACTGGAAAAATCAATTTAACGATTATACTAGCAAGAAAGAAAGCTGTGCGGGTCTCTAATTAATAGATTTACCCTTTATAGAATGTTCGTTTTCCTGTAGATCAAGATAAAAATATCAGTAGCTCTCTTACACACCTCATAAGAAAGCTATTATACAGCTGAAACAAAAATGCCAGAAGGATAATATCGATTCCTCACATCTTCCACTTAGTATTGTACCTAGCATTTTGAAATCCAAATGGCTAGAACATGTTTAATTAAATTTCACAATATAAAGTTTGACAATTAATTATATGCATATTAAAATGATTTTGCAGCTTCAAACTTTCTTACCTGAGTAAATTTATGAATTTTTTTCTGCTAAAAAATACCTGTATCCTATTTTTATTTGTCTTTTCTCATTGCCACTCATAAAAAGGTATCTTTTTAAAATGAGCCAGGTCTTGAAACATTGGACACTGATTCACAGTACTATTTCCTTTAAATAATTTATGAATTTAATGTCAACATACTTTGTCAAAACAAAAATGGAAAATAATTGGTTCCTTTTGTTTTTTATATGAAGGCAAAAGGGAATTGTAAAGTAAAAGGCTTGGTCACTTTGCAACACCTAATGACTAAAACAAAACATTGCTCCCAAGAGACAAAAATGTAAAAGAATATAATTATTTCTGGTTTTATTTCTTAGAATATGCATGCTTCGGGTCCTCAAATTCTACTCCTCATTCTTACAACCCTTGCCCTTCCTCACGTCCCCACTCCCTGACTCCCCACCCCCAAAGTGTACATGTGTAAATTACTCTTCCTGTAACTCAAAAATAAAGAGTGCAGATGAGCAGAAGTCTAAAGTCAGAAGTCATATACCATCTGGGATAGGGGAACTCTTGCCTGGACCCAGAAATATAGGATTTTGATAAAGAAATCATTTGACTCCAGGAAAGAAACTGTTATACTTTCTGCAGACAAGTGATGTGATTTTTATAATTTAAAAAATTTACAAAACTGAATTTACTAACTGGCATGGCAACTAAACACATCCATGAAATAAATTAAATGTGTAGTTCATTAAAGAGACAAAGTCAGAGATGTCAAGTTCCAGAAAAGGGCGGTGCATTCTGAATATGTTAATTACGTATTGAAAACCAGCACCCAGAATAAGACAAAGTATTTAGTATATAGGTCTGTGGACTGTTGGTTAAAACATGTCTCACTGATCATGGTGATAAGGATGTTCGTAGTTAGATCTAGTATGGGTCTGCTGTGCTCACTCAAACATCATTCAGGGTTCAGGCTACTTTACCAGCTTCAGCCAGTTAGAGAGAGAATTTATTATACAAATCAAGTCAGTTTTGATATCACTTCAATGTTGCTGTAAATGGACATTTTTGCTTTAGAGTTCTTCCCTCATACTATGATGAAAAAAAATTTAAAAACCACCACAAATGATAGGCGAATGAGCAGACATTCCATTCTACACCACCATCTTTGTTTCAAGAGCCATTTTTCTGGGATCCACTGTGTTTTTCTGAATCATTCAAGCCTCCTTTAGATGTAGAACCCTCTGAAATATGAAACTGGATGATACCTCTTCAACAGTAATCCAGACCCCGTAGATATACTCTTCATGAGACCAATAATTAGGAAAACATGATTATGTTTATAGAATACCTGTAACCTACCTTAAATTTTTTTTAATTTATTTATTTATGATAGTCACAGAGAGAGAGAGAGAGAGAGAGGCAGAGACACAGGCAGAGGGAGAAGCAGGCTCCATGCACCGGGAGCCCAATATGGGATTCGATCCCAGGTCTCCAGGATCGCGCCCTGGGCCAAAGGCAGGCGCCAAACCACTGCGCCACCCAGGGATCCCTGTAACCTACTTTAAATGACAGGCACCAGTCATCTGAAAAGATCCCATGGATCACTTTGTCCCACCTTGGACAACCAGTTGGTTTGTTCTTGACTTCTACCGCGACAACCCTTGACTTACCCTGAAGCTTTTAGCCAAATCCAACAAGCAGTGTCAGCCAGCACATAAACACCTCTGCATTTGTTTTGTAAATCAATTATTATGAATCCATCGTGTCCAGCACCATTGCAGGAAGATAGCTTAAGGCTTTTCAAGAAAATACTATATACAGTCTATACAGTTTCTCTTACTATGATTGCCATTTAAGAGGCAGTTTTAGTGCCAGACTTTAATTCAGGAACCTCATGCCAAGAGAGAAACTTGTGCATAAAGTGATGGAAATTTAGTATCTCTGGATACTTCTCAGAGATTTGCCTTTCAGCAGCCTCATAGATGAAGGAACTTTGAGTTGTCTGAGATACTAGCAGCAGGGAAGTATTAAAACGTCAAAATTGTGTGAAGCCTATCCAAGATAGCAGGGTGTAGGGAGATATTAGCATAAATACTTAATTCTGGTAAATTTTTAAGGTACATTTCTCAAAAGTAGGAGGGAAAATTTGGTCTACATTTACAATAGAACAAGTGGAATTAGTTCAGCCAGTATCACAACACTTAGTTTGATCAATTATTTAAGTGAAAACATTATTTCTTGTGGTGTGGCACTCTCCATAAGACTGTGCATTATTGAGTTTATTGGAAATTGATTCTCATTTATGGTTTGATATCCATTTGATATGTATAAGGATTCAGGTAACAAGTCACATGCCTTTAAAAAAAGGCCATTGGCTGCTGAGTACTATTAGCATGAAGGCAAGGTAAGTAATTTCTGGCCAATCAGAAATTAAAATTCATGGGTAAATGAATTTACCTTAACATAATTGCAACTGTGACATTTTTAGCAGAATATTCAAATAAATGGAACCTCTGACATTGCTGAAGGATAAGAAACTCAGCAGCTAGTAAAATTTCTTGTTGTGTCTGCAACCTTATTGAATTCAACAAAAGTTGTTCTCTTTACAAAGAGTTCGTATTAAAATTAAGATGGTAAGAAAAACAAGACATATATATACTTTAAATGTATTTCGTGTCAATATAAATGCACAGTGCTATTTATCAATACAATCTTGGTGGAAATTTTAGACTGTTAAAGAATAAGCCAGTTTTTAAAACACACACACACACACACACACAAGTACAGGCATACATACATGCATTTATACACACAGAACTACTCTGTTAATGTCCAGCAGGTGATCACATTGAAGAATTCACTAAAGAGTTCCAAGAGAGGGGAAAAACAGGGGCTTTGGAGTATAGACAGTCCCTGATTTACAATAGTGCCACTTAGGATTTTTTTGACTTTACAATGGTATGGAAACAGTGGGAATTCAGTAGAAACCATAGCTCAAGTTTTGAAATTTTTTTTAAGATTTATTTACTTATTCATGAGAGACACAGAGAGAGGGAGAGAGGCAGAGACACAGGCAGAGGGAGAAGCAGGCTCCATGCAAGGAGCCTGACGTGGGACTCCATCCCGGGACTCCAGGATCACGCCCTGTGCTGAAGGCAGGAGCTAAACTGCCAAGCCACCCAGGGATCTCTCAAGTTTTGAATTTTGATCTTCTCCCAGGCTAGTTACATACCACAAATGTACTTAATGTCAATGTAAAAATAGGTATGATCCTCCCCTGTGACGTTAGGCAGTGGCCTCGAACCCACAGCTCCCAATAAGTCCTCCAATCTGGAGGGTAAACAACCTGTCCATTGCAACCATTCTGTACTCGTACAGCCAGTCATTCCCTTTTTCACTTTCAGAACAGTATTCAGTAAGCTACATGAGATATTTAGCACTTTATTATAAAGTAAACTTTCTGTTCAACTATCATACCCAACTGTAAGCTAATGTAAGTGTTCTGAGCACATTTAAAATAGGATAGGCTAAGCTATGAAGTCCAGTAATTAAGTGCATTAAATGCATTTTTTGACTCATGATATTTTCAACTTATAATCGGCTTTCTGGGATGCAATCACATGCATGATAAGTCATGAAAGATCAGTATTAGAAAAGGAGAATGCATGATAGTCATATGATGGTCATCTAATCACACATTAGACACTAATGTGAAATAGAATCTATATATTATTAATATATTTATTATGTATTAATGTATAATTATAAGAACATTATTAAATTATATAAGATAATATAGATTGTATTAAGGCCAATTCTAAAAAAATGCAACAGTCACTTTGATGTGTCATTGACAAGAGCTACCGTAACTAGAAAGTATTTTACTTATAAATTGATTGAAAAGACACATAATAAACCAGTTACTAAGTAAGGAATGTTGTCAATCAAAATGCAGAGGAGGCATTACAGGTTGTAGGGGACAGAAAAGGTAAAACCTTTATGTAGCCAAGGCACAAGTCTAATACTATATCCAAAATGTGAACATCTAAAATTCCAATTTTCCTTAAAGAGAAAGAAAGAAAAGAAGGAAGGAAGGAAGGAAGGAAGGAAGGAAGGAAGGAAGGAAGGAAGGAAGGAAAGCAAATCCCTTCCTCAGGTAGGCCCTAGCTTCCAAGAGTTCAGCTAATTTGCTCTGTCTTATCCCTGGTCCAAAATCTCACCATTAGAGTTACCAGTTGATGAGATAATAAGGCAAGAGAAGTGGCATAGTGATTTTAGAGGTGAATTTTAACACAAATAGCCATACACACACAACACAGAATTCATTTATCTCACAAGAAAAGTCTGGTTTCTTTTCTAGGCATAGCCCATTTTCATTGCCTAATTTAACCCTTTATGACTACCCTGAAAGGCAGAAAAATCTGAATTTCCAAGGCAATTAACTGCCAATGCCTCAATATTATGAGATTCATCTGTGTGTGGATTTCCAGCTAGGAACTGCTTGCACAATGCTGCCACACTGTATACGGTGCTTGTTGACTGAGTGGATGAATAAGAGGATAAGTTACAGTACAGCTGAGTTCCACTTCATAGGAGAAAAATTGTAGTGAGGATCTTTAGGGAGTCAAGAGAAAGCATGAAAAAAGAAAAATGGAAGACAAGAAGGAGGAGCAAAATGAGAAAACCTGCACTTGAAATTGAATTTATGCAAATGATTTGTCTAAACACTGGAGAGTTTCAAGGCAGAAAAGACTATAAAAGAAATTGCTGAAGATAGATATAATTTATTAGATATTTTTACACTGATATATAGGGTATTTAATTCAATGATTTTCAACCTTCATCCTCAGCTACACATTAGAATCTCTGGCAATAACTGTAGCCTGCACACACCACATCAAGTGAACTAGAATTTCTGAGAGTCTAGACATCAATATTTTATTTTATTTTATTTTATTTTTAAATTTTTATTTATTTATGATAGTCACACAGAATGAGAGAGAGAGAGGCAGAGACACAGGCAGAGGGAGAAGCAGGCTCCATGCACCGGGAGCCCGACGTGGGATTCGATCCCGGGTCTCCAGGATCGTGCCCTGGGCCAAAGGCAGGCGCTAAACCGCTGCGCCACCCAGGGATCCCGACATCAATATTTTAAAAATTTTCTCAGGTGATTCTGATTTTATCAAGTTCAAATACACTGATTTATTTTTCTATAACACTATTTGTCTTGACAGATTTAAGGGCAATGCTTTCTCCGGGGGCAGGGGGGAACATAGGTCCTAGGTCAGTAATCCCCAAATTCTGTTACATATTGGATTCACCTCAGAAGTTATTTAAAAAAATCCCAATATCTGTGTCCCACCCGATAACAATTAAATCACAATGTGAGGTTGGTAGCTAGGTACTAGTATTTCTTCTTCTTTTTTTTTTAACAGGTTCTTTCTTTCCTTCCTTCCTTCCTTCCTTCCTTCCTTCCTTCCTTCCTTCCTTCCTTCTTCCAAGATTTATCCATTTATTATTT